AAAAGCAACAAATTTGTAAGACAGATTTTTTTTAAAGTTATTTGTTGTTGAGTTATAAGCCTTTTTATATTTTTATACGTAAAAAGTGGATATCTTTAGCTATCCGGTACTGTATTAATATTTTTTTTAGCCACGTATAGATTATTTTTTTTGTTAATATATACAATGATAAAAAATCCAAATAGCATACTCATATGTAAAGATAAACAAAATTGCTTCGAAAAGTAGCACATCTTTAGAGGTTGGAAGCATGGATGTAAGGTCTGTGACGAATGCAATCACCATTTATATCTGTATTGTAAAACATGCAAAAAAGTAGCAGATGGAATATATAGGCGATATGAATGTGATAATTTTAAAAAAAGAACCTCGAATAACTAAAGTAATAAAATTAATTAACATGTGACAGAATAAATTCCGCATACGTAATTCATCAAGTTCTTTATGCGTAAAAATCTGTCTAACAGAACCATTCGGTAATAATGCCATTTTCGAGAAGCATTTAGATGAATCATTAGAATCAAAGCTTTACTCCTGATTTCAATTTCCCATTCTGTCTCATTTCATATAACCATGTGCAAGTTTACACGTAATATTACAGCCACGTAGATATTAATGCACATCCGTCGGTTAAACATTGACCCAAGTCTGTCTGATAAAAGTATGATTTTTTACTTGAGAGTTTTCATTATTTCATGCAGTGCATCTACTTCGTTTGTTCATTGTCGGTATAATAGGTCATGTTATCTGTCTGGAAAAATGGATCAGTTAATAAATTTGTTAACAAATAAAGATTCATTTGCATAATCGAAATTCTATATGCGAGGCTATGATCCCGACTTCTCGATTTATTAAAATTTCGACTATTGTTATGTCGCAAGTATTGTTTTGACAGAATGTATTATCAAGGATGATCAGATAGAAAAAATTCAGAGATTAAGAAATTATGCATGTATGATCTGTTGTATGACAATCTGATTGTTTGTATAAACTATAAAAAGGGGAGATGTACAACTTACTAAAAAAAATTTTTTAACTAAACACAAACAAATATGGATACATTTGCAAGTATTTCCCTTTCTACCATTGAACAAATAAATAAGTTAGATACTACTGACAGTTTAATCAAATGTTTAAGTGAATACATAAATCTTACGGAAAAAACTTTACAAGCTCTTCATAACGAAGAAGTTGATGGTTCAGCCTTGCTTCAGTCAAGTCAAGAAGATCTTAAAGAATAGGGAGTACCAGGTGGGCCAGCAAAAAATATTATGGGCTTAATTAATAAAATCAAGGGCGATGACCAGGGTAAGTAGTACTACGACTGTATTCGAAGACACAAAGTGTCGAGTCTCTGACTTATATTCCAAACCTATACTGCTTTCTCTGCAATAATTTCATTTATTAACTTGTTTTTTTTCTTGCTATATAGCTACGACTGCATCAAATCAGGAGGTGCAAGAATTGAGAAAAAGGCTAGCAATATTACAGGCATCTAAGGTTAAAGAGGAAGGTAAGTATTACGAATATCTCCAAATTTATTACTGTTTTCTCACTTTTTTAATTGAGAAAGTTTGGTATATCGTTTATGTTGACCAATGTTCTGTATTTATTTTTAGTTCTTATATATTTCCAGTATCTTGATTCAGAAGTCACGAGTCTTTGTTCCGATAGTTGGAGAGATTTTTATCAACTATATGCCTGTTTGAAAAGTCTTTTCGATCTCGATGGTCCATTACAAAATCATAAGTTTATTATTAATAGTAAAAATATAAAATTTGCTAGTCAAAAGAGTATTTAATTGATTTTATTGAAAAACAGAAATGTTCGATTGATAATCTAGTCAGGATATCTGATATAAGAAGAGATATGATAGTTCAATTATCAGTTGCTCGAAAATAAGCTGAACTAATGCAATCTTGCTTTGCAGGTGTTAAAAGATCATATATGGAAATGCTAGATCTTTTACCAACACTATCGAAACTTGGAGAACCTGATGAATTTTATAAGCTACAGACAATTAGACCTATATGACTTAATCACCATCCACCATATACATCTAGTACCGTACCTGTTAGCTTACATTGTTCGATTTTTGGCAAATTTAAGGATTTCTGTGAAGAAGCCCCAGAAGTTGAGGATAATCATTTTACCTATAATATATGTAAAAAAATAGCAGATTTTTTTAAAAGCGAAGAAGAACGTCAAACTACTGCAAATAAAATGTTATCCACTTATTTTGGCTATGAGATGCAACCACTTGTACTTCCTCATAGTCGCCGTACTGATAGCACTATAAGCTATTCCTCTGTGTATCATGGGCTTAATGTGAAATTTAAGTGGGAGAACTGTTGCTCCAACACTTCTCCATATCTCGAAAATTGTGGATCTTTTTTAAATTTCTGCAAGGAAAAAGAAAAAGAACATTCTTTCCATGTGACTAATTTTCCGTGCTTTTTAGTTACAATTGCAGGTATAGTAGTAAATTCAATTTGACATATTTTTGTATGAATTTGTGAGTGACTTTGATTGCAATTTAGGGCCTTACTTTTCTGTTTCCGGTGCTGTGCTTTCGGATATTGCTATAATTGACCCGCTTATTTCAATATATCCTCTTATTTAGCAAAAAGATAATGAAATGATGGTATCAATTTCAAGAACATTTCGTGCTTTAAAGAAATCTCTCAAACTTCTTGAAGAACACTATAAACATGTTAATGAATTAGCTCAAGACATCCTTCGAACTGCCCATTCTGTGCATCCATCATTTTCTGATATAGTTATAAACGGCAAACGATATAGCGTTCAATTCGATTCTGATCCCCAAGTTGGTGTTTTTCTTTTTTGGAAAGTTAGGATTTTAGACGCACAGGAGATATATTGCATAGCCTACGTGAGAGCTGTTCAAAAGCATCAATATTCGCTTGACATATATCAGCTTTTAGCTAATGCTGAATATGCTCCAAAAGTTTTTGCTACTTCAGTTATTCCTGGAAATTAGCTTTTGGTTTATATGGAATGTTTAGACAACCATTCAATGCTAAATCGCATCACCATTAATCTTAATAATCAAGAATGAGATGATTTAAAAAAGAAAATTGAAATAGTAGTTAAATATTTGCATAATTCAGAGCACGTACATAGGGACTTACATGAAAGGAATATTCTAGTTTGCCAACTTGAAAATAATGAATTTGACGTGAAATTGATCGATTTTGAATGGTTTGGGAAGGTTGGTTCCACACGTTATTCTCATTTTATGAACCATGTTAGTATTAAATAGCTGTATAGAGCAGAAGATGCGAAACTAGTCACGAAAAACCACGATATGGCTATGTTGAATCAGACATTTTGGGCAACAAAATTGTCGCAAATTGATCTAATAGATATATTCCTTTAATAAAAGGAGTAGATTGAATAATTTTAGTGTAGGCAATCCAATATTTGTTATTTTTAGCATGTAATATTATTATCAAAATACCATGGTATAATCACATTTTTACAATTTCATGTAACATATTTATTTCGAAATTTTATTTGGCAATTATAAATTAATAATAAAGCTGGCCCTCGTAGCTCGATTTCGCATATATAATCGTGTTTAGTTTGCATGTATATTTTTGGATTTTATTACATTGTATATATATCGATGTCCACGTATGATCGAGAATTTTTCTTGCAAAAAAAGTGATCGGTGTGAAGATTCTTTACACACACGTAATTTTTTTATTTTGAATAAAATTATGCATATATAAAAAAACTATTATCGAATATGCAATTTGAATTAGATTTGTTAAAACAACGCATCACTGAGCTCGAGGATGAGAATACTGAGGTTAAGGCTGAGAATGTGGAGCTTAAACATGAGAATACAAAATTAAAACAGATCATAGAAGAAAATGTTGAGTTTAAAGCCAAAATCGTTAAGCTAGAACGAGCCGTTGATAAAATCGAGAAGCGGGACCAAAGTATTAATAATGATTCTCAGCGTGAGCTGGCACATTCGTGCCAAGTCAATACTCCCAAACAGATAGTTGATACAACTATCAGACCTTGTCTGTCTACAGCGGATGTAATTAGATTTGATGTAAACCAGGAGTCAAGTGTGGAGGCATCACCACTTCATAGCAAGACTCGGCACGAATGCACCAGTGAACGCCGATGTTCTGCATCAACAATCACCATAGAATCTAAATCATCAGAAGATATAGAGATCGACAAATTCCTAGATTCAGAAGATAAGAAAAGAGTTAATAATGAGATAAAATAGAGGAACAGGGAGAAGAAGTTTACTGAAGAAAAAACATGTGATAAAATTTGCGTGAATAAAATTCACGGAAAACTTGTTCAGAATTCAGATCTATCAACTGTTGCTGTTAGCTCTAGTTTTGTTACACTTAGTGAATATGAACAGAGTGATAAACTTATTCCCCTCTAGAGAAAAATTTGATTGTCGAACAAGAGTTAATACAACAGCTTTCTGTGATTATTGGCAGAGCCAGCATAGCTGAAAATAAAGAAGTATTGGTCGGAGATACAGATTCACAGATTTTTGATCCATCTTCAGTTTCAATACAAAGTATAGTTTATATGTTTCGAGAGGCCATTCGATCAAGTCAAAATGCCATTTCATGTTGGTACTATTTTGCGGAAAAATATGACAAAAGAGCAGATAAAGTTTCTGCTGATAAAAAAGTCGGTAAGAAAAAAGCAATGAGTATAGTATATGATGAAGTAAAACGGCTTCTTCCTGAAATCACAAATGTGAATCTGCGTCAAAAACTTCTTAGAGCCAGAAAAATAAAAATGCTTTTTAATGCAGTAGGAGTAGAAAAGATTAAACAAGTTTCATATAGTGCAAATGCAATTTCTAACCTTTCCTATTCCCAAATTTAAAATATTATAAATCATATACTATTAAATAAAATTCACGATCAGTACCATATAACTGCTGAAACCAAGGCAAGCGAATCATCTGTATCTCATATCTCTGATTCTCTCAATTTGAAAGGCAATATTAGTATACCACCTACCTCAATACGAGCCGATATGATGGTCCCAAAACCTCTTATTGAGAAAGTCTTACCAAAAACTGAGGTAAGTGCTTCATCTAATAATATATTACCAGAAAATAAGATTCCATCTATAGATCATGCAAGTGTATTGTCTAATCTGATCTATGACCGCGCTTATTTTCATAATAAAATACTAGGTCGATATCCTGATATATATAGAGAATTTAGTAGTGAAAAATTTGATTATTATAGAATTATTGATAAGTTATTATATCTAGCATGCAAGCTAAATCATAAAGATGAGAAAAGTATTAAAGGTAGATATGGAGCTGGATCTTATTTTATTAAATGTGGAAAGTATGAAATTAAGATAACTGTGTAATTGTCTTTTCAATACCTGCGATAAAAAACAAGACCATATTTAATACTTTCTCTGAAAGATATTTTTTTTATAATATCCAATACATGATTTAAATTGATTTATAACTATATAAAATGATAACATGTCTCATTTATCTAACTACCCTGTGATTTCCTCTGACAAGAAAATATTAACTGGCAACTACAATAAATGGATCCTTCAACTAACTGGCTTGCTAAATCTATTGACAGATGAGTTTCGTGATATTTTATATGAAAGTTATACAAATAAAACTGGACTTGATCCCTGGATAAACTCTGAAACTTCTGAATCCTCACAAATTGAAGAGGGTAATTATATCTCACAAGATTGCATTATCAAGATTTCCAAGTTTCCAGAAGATAAAAATACAATCCATGAAGCAGTACAGAAATAATTCCCTTTCTTGAGGTATACTAAATCAGATGTATGGTACAGAGATGCTTTTAAATATACTGATTCAGAAGCTTCATGCCCAATATGTAAAAAAGTACATACACATTTAGAAATATGGGGTGATTGGAGCTGTCTAGGTAAAAATGATCACTATTTTCTTAGTTGCCCTTTTCATATCGATTAAAAGAAAGTTATTATTGCTGTACAGAGTTTACCGGAAACTCAGGGAGGGATACTAAACAAAACCAGCCTTTATCAGCCAGAGGCAGGCTTACGCCAATATGCCATCGAACATGGAATGGATCTCGAGAAATTTTCGGTCATTACTAAGGCTGAAAAAAATAGATAGGCCATGGGGTGTTTTCCTGCTGACTTGGAGAGAGATATACGGTTCTATCAAGGTGGAATAGAGAGGAAGGAAGATCCTAGAAAATATCATAAATTTTTAACAGATCGGGATAGGCTAGTCGGTGAAGAGTTATTATGTCGCAGTATACGAAAGAGTAGTTTAAGTACTGCATAGCTCGATAATCTTATAGAAGAATAGGAAAAAACTTATACTCGATTTATACAAATTTTTAGCCAGTCCTAGCCAAAAAATAAATCACATTTTGCTATTATATTATGATTTTGATCATGAATTGTAGATAAGTTCATAAAATTTTTGTTTCATAACACATCACGGCTATACCACTATTTATACACATTTAAATCTTGACTAATTTTCTACCCATTCACACAATCACATTAAAATAAAAAAATAGCAAGCCCATAGGACTCCTCTTTATTTCATAAAAATGTTGCCGAAACAACAATATACAAATAAAAAATTTTATTATAAAAATACAAAAAAATATATCCTCAAAGAGATGCCCTTAATGGGCTAGGTTTGGTGTGGGTTTACATTTGATCTAACATTTCTTGGGCCTGACCAGGATTTATACTACCATCCCAGTTATCATTCTCTATACGTCTTTCTAAGTTTTCTTTCGAAATAGGATAGAAGAGATCGTTATCTGATTTTAATACACAGAATACACAGATACATTCCAATGTAATAAAAAACTTAATCAGAAAACTATTACCCACAAATACTACAAAGTGGACCTATGAAGTAAGAAATAATTCCGCAATATAAAATTTACTTACAAGTTTTATTACTGTATTGAGGTTTGGATTTAGGTTTGGATTTGGGTTTAGATAGCCTGTTAAAGTTGTTATCATTTTGGGTA